TAATATGTCTTTATTTCAGCAAAGCATTTGACATTGTTCTCTGTGAAATTCTGATTAGCAAGCTTGTTAAGCATGGGCCGGATGGCTTGACAGTGGATACATGGGCAACTTAAAGACTATGTTCAAAATGGTCCCTCATTAATGCTTCCTCATCAAACTGAAATGAAGCATGGATTAAAGTGCCAGGAAGTTCAGCCCTGAATTTCATGCACTTCGACTTTTAAGAGATGAAGGGAATGCTTATTCAACCCTCAATGACCAAAAATTGAGTAGAGCAGTAGTCAGATGAAATTCAAGATGATCTTGAGAAGTTAGAGAAATAGGCTTAATGTAATAGAATTTGTCCAAGACAAATGTTCTTTCACACAGGAGGGGGGGAAAAAAGCACAGTAATGGAATATCTGGCTCAGTAGTAGTATTTTTGGAAATGTATTAATGATTATAAACTGAATATGAACTAGCAGCTTGATGGGGCCAATCAGCTTCAGGCTACATCAACAGAAGTTCAGTTTCAAGTTTGGGGAAGTAATAATTCCATTTTATTTTGTGTTGGTCAATTTCCACCTCAAGTACTGTGTCCAATTCTGGACACATTTGAGGAAAGATTCATCAGAGCTGGACGAGATACAGCGAAAGTCAATGAAGTGATTAAAAGACTTAGAAGTAAAATCTTGTGAGGAGAACTTGAGGGAAAAGTGTATATTTAGCAAGGAGAAAAAAATGATAGGGGTATATTTCAAACAACTCATGGGGAGAGGAGCTCAGGTCAGGTCAGGTTTTTGGCTTGATCAAGGTCACGTTCTGTTATCCCAAACAGCAGACATGGAGAATAATGGAGCTATTCTTCCAATACTGTCACAGGGAAGATTGAGTCAAGCTATTCTCTAAAGCAGTGGTTCTTAACCTGGGCGATATTGCCCCCCAGGGGGCAATTTCGTTTTTCAAGGGGGCGATGGAACAAAAAGGGGGCGATATGGGGGCGATGGAGCGAGAAGTTTTGGGGACACTTTTGAGACTTTTTCATACAGTGAATAGCTGTATATCTGTCGTATAAAAACATCAGATCGCTCGCTATTAGTGGATTGAATTGTGTTTTCAAATGTTCCTCCAGCTAGCTCCAGTATAGAACACCGTACATATGTGAAGACGCATCGCTTATCTTCATGCACGTTGCACAGCAGCCTCTACCCATACAGTGGCACACCATTGGCCAGAATATGGGAGATATGGGGAAAAGACTGAAAATAAATGATTTGCATCGATATGTCCTGATGACAATTTTAAAGAAAACAAAAAAAGTGTTTGCATAAATGGAAGAATTATTTCCTATGTTGTGATTGAGAGGTTATGTTGGGGGAGGGGGGGCGATGACAACTTCCTCATTGGCTCAAGGGGGCGATTCGTTCAAAAAGGTTAAGAACCACTGCTCTAAAGCACCCGAGAGCAGGACAAGAAGCAATGGGTGGAAGCTCATCAGAGGGAGATCCAAACTGGAAATGAGGAATTTCCTGACAGTGAGAACAATTAAGCAATAGAACAGCTTGCTTCCTAGAACTGTGGGTGCTCCATCACTCTTGGTTTTCAAGAAAAGATTGGACATCCATTTGTCCAGGATGGTATAAGGACTCCTGACTTGGGCTGGAGGGTGGACTAGAATACTTCCAAGGTCTCCTCCAGTCATATGATTCTATGATTCTAAATTAGGATGGTCACTTCCTATTGAATATTAGGAAAAACTTCCTAATAGTAGGAATGGTGGAGTAGTTAACCCTGTTGCCAAGGGAGACAATAAGCAAATCTCCATGGACTTATTTAAACAAAGGCTGGACAGTTCTCTGTCTGGGATGTTTTATCCTGAATTCTTGCCCTGATCAGAGAGTTCACAGTCTGCAGCTGAGCACCAAGCAAACATTGATTCAAGATCTCAAAATAGTTGTCTTGGATGCCTGTGTCACCACCAGCATCTCATTGCAAGCAGTTTCATTTCTGTCTTGCATGAGTTCTGAACTGAGAGAGAAACAGTCCTTGGGTGCAACGGTGGGGGACAAAGCAGGAATGTCCTGAAGGGGGCTGGAGAGAGAGGTTACAGCAATGGGGATGCTGAGACCCTCCAGATGCTGCATTGCTGGATTCTGTATCCCAGTGATCCGAACAAGCATGGTTAATGGAAGGAAGATGTCATCTATTACTGTCTGGAGGGTCGCAGATCTCCCATCCCTGCTTATAAAGGGGACTGTACTCTCTGCCATGTCTCCTCCTGCAAAACAGTCTCCCCAACACTACTAGGTAGCATCCATACACACCCCCAATTTAAATCATTTGAACAATATGAAAGGAGACGTAAACATCTTCGTGAGCTGAAGAAGCTTCTTGGATGAGAAGTAAAACATTTTTTTTAAGGAAAAAGCAAAGAAAATCCAGTTGCCTTTTGGAAAACCGCCTTTGGGAGATGGAAGCATGAGAAACCTATGGAAACCTCCAGAGCTTTTACAATTCTCACTTAAACTCCCAAGAGACCTGGAACAAAGGCTCACAAGATTGGGTAACCTTGTGAGATTTGGACTGCTGTGCTTGAAACTAAGCTGCCTTCTGTACATAAGCAGGAGAAGAGGGGACATCTGCATTCCTCCCCACCCACCCCCTGGCTTTTCTGCCTTGTCCGAGCCCCCAGGAAAGGGCAGCCCAATCCAGCTAGTAAACAGCTTCAGCATTTTCAGCCCATTAGTCTAGTCCTGTCTGACTGGATGCCAAGTTTTGCTGGAGTAAGAAAAATGCCTGCCAAGCAGAAGGAATGGCTGAAGGTCCTGGAAAAGGCTCAAAGCCTCTGTTGCTTTTGGGCAGTGGTTGACTTTCCAGGATTGAGAGATCCTTTCAGTCATTCAGCTGAAGCTAAATCACCCACAAAGCCCCTCATTTGGAGAGCCCAAGCACTCTTCGCTGGGGGACACACACACAGCAAAACAAACCGGGCCAATTACAAACCATTGCTCTCAGAGAGGTTAAAGATGATTAATTTTAACTTGGATATCTTTTTCTGGCTTAATACATTGTGTGCATTCAAACTATTTCACTACTTTAGGCTACAATATATTTCACGAGCTCAGAAAATAAGTCAGACAAGTGGACAGCATAGTTGTATTATTTGATTGCAGTTATGGAGGAGTTTCTTGGCTGGTTTGCTCAGTTTTGGGTACTCTTTGTAGAGACCCTTCTGCATTGGGATATCAGGGATTAAAGGGTTAATTGATTGAGGAAGGCTATCTCTCCTCCCCACCATGATTTTCCAGAGGCCAATGTGGAAGTCCTGCTCTCCTCTGAGCTATCAGTTTGTATATACACAATATGCTGATCAAGGTTAAAGTGGGGTTGGGTAGATTGTGGTCCACCATGCTGTGTGAACCTGCCCACTGCATGGAGTCTTAGCATGACTTATTTTAAAGTTAAAATGATGGGTCAAATTACACAACTATCCATCAGGGAAGACATTGAGACCTATTTACAAATATTGCTTTCCAAACTCTGTTTGGACTCAATGATTGGCATAATTTTATAGTGTACTAAACCATTCATTAACTATGGCTTATTGAATGAACCACAATTGGCTGGATAAACTGAATACTCTAAGCCAGAAATTATGAATTGACAAGATAAAGGTAAAGTTTCTTATGAGTTGAGTTTGACTCCTGATGAATTGGATAGGTCTACATAGCCTTCCTTGGCAACATACAATTCAGTTGGAAGACCTCAAGTTGGTGATGACTGGTTTAGAATATAAATTATTTGGGAGCGGCAGCTTGGTGTGGGTGATTAATATAAAAGAAAGTCATGACTCCTAGCTTGGTTCAATACCAACGAGTGACCAATAGATACACCCATACTGTTTTCCAGGCAACAATACATAAATACTATAGCTCCTATGAAATTTTTCAATTTCCCTGGGATTTGTGTTGGCCATTCACTTAAGAACAAATTCTACCCAAATTTATCATTTGAAGCCAACCACAATTGCTAGAGTCACACAATACATAGTGCATTTTTTACTCCTCATCATAGCACAGAAAGCTCACTACTATTCATAAGCTGATAAGAATAGTGCATTATGGCTGCCAACCACTGCTCACATGGGAGACAGAACTGCATATGAGCATATTATTTATTAAGGGGCTGCCACAAAGAAGAAGGAGTCAAGCTAGTCTCCAAAGCACCTGAAGGAAGGACAAGAAACAATGGATGGAAAGTAATCAAGGAGAGAAGCAACCTAGAACTAAGGATAACTTTTATTAGAACAATATATCAACGGAAAGATTTGACTCTAAAAGTTGTGGGTGCTCCTTCACCAGAGGTTTTTAAAAGCAATTGGACAGCCACTTGAATGAAATTATATGAGGTATCCTGCTTGAGTAGGAGGTTAGGCTAGAAGACCTTCAAAGTCCCTTCCAATTCTGTTATTCTGTCATTTATTGCTATTTTACTAGGCTTCTAAGCCCAATAGTCTAATTGTGAATGACTTTAAGTAGCATATATCCCAAACATATGAAAGTCAAGTTAAAAAATACTCAACAGAATAAAAACAAAGCCTATTAATAACATAGTGAATAATTATAATCAATAGAATTAGGAATGTTCGCTAAATGAATGGTTGTAAGCTGAGGATTACCTATATCTGTCTTAGCAATCATGTCTGAAGAATCTGGGCATCATAGTTGGCAAAGGCTGCTTTTTCCCACCTTCCTTGTAGACCTTCACTTCCCCACTGACAAATGGGGAGAAAGAAAGCTTCTAGACCGGCAAAGATCTGGTCAGTTTCTCAATTGCTGGCTCAGAAGATAGGTTTTTACAGCTATATTATTTATTGCCTCAAAACAAATTCCTCCAGCGCACAGTTGGGACAAAGAATTAGAACGGAAATTGATGCATGGCCTTAATTTACACAGAAAACAGGTTACCCACAAGAAACGGCTATGTAGAAACGTTTGGAGGCAAGAGAAGAGAACACTCACTTCGTCGGATGAACCAAGGAAGTGTTGCCTAATCGGAGGATCATCGGACCTTTGGGATTGCGTATTTTCTTAACCGACAAGGTCTTCAGAAGACCAAACCTTTTGATTAGATTAAATCCTGGAAAAGAGAGAAGAAGGCAAATTGAGAATCTATTGGGAATTTGGGGTGCTGTAATGCAATGCATCTTGGGTGAATGGGGGGGACACCATGTTGGGAAGTCTGATTTCAGCATCTGTCTTTTGAACTTTCTGTGTTGGTTCATAATATCTTCCTTATTCACAGTGCAGAATAATAAAGACTAATCGCTTTAGGGCAGCGGTTCTCAACCTGTGGGTCGGGACCCCATTTGGGATCGAATGACCATTTCATGGGGGTCGCCAAACAACGCAGTCCACCATTTTTTCCCCCTTTTCCTTAGCTGTGCTCCTCCCTTTTATTCTATTGGCTTTTGAAAGCCAATAGAATAGACTCTCTTGAATAGAGTCTAATTCTATTGGCTTTCAAAAGCCAATAGGAATTGTCCAGGCTGTCTCTGCCCTGCTGAGCCCGCCAAAAGTCCCATTCTGCAAACGGTGCTGCACCAGTTGAGTAGTCCTCGACTTACGACCGGTTGAGTAGTCCTTGACTTACGACCGGTTGGGTGTCGCGGCATTTAAAAGGTTGAGAACCACTACTTTAGGGGAATAAAAAGCTGTGGGGCATTAGAAAGGATCGACGTGGGTCTTTGATAGGTAAAAATATATATTTGAGTCAGAATGCCTGAAAGGCCATTTTTTAGTGTGGTGCATCTCTAGTCCTTATTGAGATTGGCTACTCCTTTAATTGGTATAAATTAAGAAAAGGTGTAGCCTTTTTCCTTCAGAAAATAAGGACTTCAAAATGTTGACGCTTCCGAGTCCATTTCCACCCATCGTTTAAGTGTCTGTTTATGGTCATAGTCCCAAAGTCACCGTTAAAATATAAAGCATCTCACAGGCACACATACACACCCCCATAAATAACCAAAACTTAAATTACATTTTGATCCATCTCATCTAGCAACTGCTGCTATTACACAATGTTTGGTGACTTTTCAGGAGATTTTACAGTACTGATCATCTCATAGGAAGTGTACAATTGCCTGTTGGAAGCTGTCCAAATAATATGTGATGAGATTAGCTCAGTCCTCAGGGAACGATAGAAAGGAGTGCATAATCAGCTATCTCTCCTTCAGTGTCCAAACATCTGAATGAATGCTTCTGAAAAGGGGATACGATTACATCTTCCTATCAATGGTACCCAGGATAGGGATCCTAAGATATAAATCCCCTTCTAGGCAAAGGCACACGGACTAGATAAAAAGAATTGGGTATTGTAAAAACAGAGGTATATAATATCATTATAGCAGGGCTGGAATGTATTTAGCTCTGTCCTTTGGTACATTAAGATCAAGAAAAAAAAAATCTGCCTGATCTTATTCCTCAAAAAAACTTTGGGGGATAAACCCAAAATGTTTGATCATTGTCCCCATTTCAGCACATCATCTCTTTTGTCTGTACCATTGCAAAGGATGCTGGGAGTATCTTCTGGACCATACCCCGAGCATCCCTTAAAAGAGTGTTTCTCAACCTTAGCAACAGAGGCAAAGAGACACTTACTTTGCCTGAAAACAAACTTGCCCATAACTTCTGTGGCACTACCTTTGGGCTTGCTGATGTGCCCCTGTGTCTAGCAGGGATGTCTTTTGCAGCAACATCTCCGTAAAGGATGTTACATTGAGACAGTGTTTCTCAACCTTAGTAACTTTCACACAGGCGGGCTTCAACTCCCAAAATTTCCCAGCCAACTTTAAAATAGTTAGACCTCAGCTCAGCCTCTGCTGGCTGGGAAATTCTGGAAATTGAATTCTACATCTCTTCAAGAGCTGGGGAATTCTGGGTGTTGAAGTTCACCCGCGTTAAAGTTGTTAAGGTTGAGAAATGCTGCCTTAACATAACACCCCATATGGAGATGTTGCTGTAGAAAACATCCCTGATAGACACAGGGGGATGTTAGCAAGCCAAAGGCGGACACAGAAGTTATGGGACCTCTGGTTTCAGACAAAGCAGGTATCTCCTTCCCTCTGTGCTCCAGGTTAGGTTGGAGGCAGGCTTTGGTTGATATCTGACCAGTGACTCTTGTTGTTGTTGTTAATTGCAAAGTCGTGTCCGACCCATCGCGACCCCATGGACAACGTTCCTCCAGGTCTTCCTGTCCTCTACCATCTTCTGGAGTCCATTTAAGTTCACACCTACTGCTTCAGTGACTCCATCCAGCCATCTCATTCTCTGTCGTCCCGTTCTTCTATTGCCCTCAATCTTTCCCAGCATTAGGCCCTTTTCCAGTGAGTCCTTCCTTCTCATTAGGTGGCCAAAGTATTTGACCAGTGACTCTACAGCTGCCACAACCCACCCTACCCCATCTGCATCTGGGGTGGACAATGCCAAGAAAACACTGTTTGGATGCTTGGTAAGTTGGGAGCAGATTTCAGCGCAAGAGGGCTGCATATTAGCTGGACCTCAATGGGTGGGGCTCAATCCCACCAATCTGGAGGAAAGAGGAGGAGGAGAACCTGAGCTTCCCACTTACCAGTTATATTTACGAATTCATTGCTGCTCTGGTCCAGCCGGAGACCTTCTTTCTCCAGTAGCGGACACTTCTCCCCTGTAAGAGAACGATGAATAAGAATGATTACTCAATGGAACTTTGCCTCCTGGAATTGTGGGGGCTCCATTGCTGAAGGTTTTCAAAAATAGACTAGACAAACACTTGTTCAGGAAGTATAAGGACTCCTGCCATGGGCAGGGGAGTTGGACTAGAAGACCTCCACGGTCTCTTCCAGGCCTACGATTCTATGACTGGATGATAAGACCTGTTCCAACTATCACCACGGAGAACGGACATTCATTAACATGTGAATTAAACCCCCAAGTATCATCATACAACTTGGTTTCAGCTGTACAAAGAGACACAATAAGTTCCTATTCAGTAAGGAATGAAGACTGGACTTAGCTACACAACTTGAGGGACGTTGCTGAAGCAACGTTTGGATTTTTTTTCCTGGCAGAGAGGTTAACTCCGACTCAGAGGCCAGTCCTGCCTCGCCAGGATCATTCTCAGAATTTTGTTTTGGAAATGATAGAAATAAATAATAAGATAGCTGTTCTAAAATAGAAAAATGACTCATCTTTGGACAGACATTTGTTTGCTGTTGGAGTCTCTCTCTCTCTCTCTCTCTCTCTCTCTCTCTCTCTCTCTCTCTCTCTCTCTCTCTCTCTCTCTCTCTCTCTCTCTCTCTCTCTCTCTCGTGAGATAGTGACATCCAGAGAATTATGTGGTTGTAGATTAATTTGACCCAACTCGCTGGTTCTTTCATATGCAAGAATTAGGATGTGTGGAGCCTGTGGAATGGGGAACAGCATCTCAGCAGAAAAATTTCTTTCAAAGGAGACAGAATCAACTAGCTTGCTCACATTAACTGTGGTTTTACCCTGCTGAATGAACACAAATGTTTGAATGTGTCACGTGGGTAGTGGAGAGAGCCTATGTGCTTTCAGTTGATCAGCTAAAACACATATAATTAACAACCAGAACATCATCATCATCCTGGGTTGAAATCCGTATTTTTCATCTGTGTCTGGAGGAATAAATATAAGAACTACCATAATGGCTATAAGATGGATACAATGGTACATCAGCCCTTTTATTCTTTCGGCAATTTCTGCTACCCTTTCAAAGTTCTGACTCTCCGGTTATTTGTCTCTGCATTTTGCGGCAAGTTATTCCAGACTCAGATTTTATCAAAGTATTGAAATGCTGCAAATGGCAAAGAACAAAAATACAGAATGGAGGATTTTTTTTTTTTATTTGGCAGAAACACACCTCTGCAGAGGTTCTTTAGAGGGGCAAATTTGCTAAAATCTAGGTTGGTCCCTCACTGGTTTCCAAATGAGACAACAATCATTTATCTCCTTTGTGAATATGCTTATGAGGTTCATAAAGGATGGACGACTTTCACCCAAAACTTTGCAATGATTGTAAGAGGCAAGACAATTCTGCCCTGCAGGAGGTCCTCAGCTTATGACCACAATTGGAACAATGAGCTTGTTAAGTAAGTCGTGACTGATTTTACAGTATTTTTTTGCCTGTTGTTAATCACCATGGTCCTTAAGCTGGGGGGAATCTTCATGTAGCTTCAAAGCTTTTCCCTCTGTGAAAGTCTCAAGTCTTTTGATTCCCATTCCAGCCTTGCAGTCTCCTGACCATAGCAGGACCATGAAGTCATAGTACCAGCTTTTGATAAAAATGTTGTGGTAACTGTTGTTTGTGGGGAGCTTCTCTACAGACCCTAGTGCTGGTTACTGTGGAAACCGACCATTCTTGGGACATTTCTGCTGTTGTTATTAAGGAGTTCCTGCCAGCTTATATTTCAGTATCTTCAACTCTTTTTATCTTATGTTTTTAAATCTGTTTGCTTGAGCTAGTAATAAAACTTAAAATCTCATTATTCAGTAGATAGTTCATTGTCTCTGGATCAATTGCTTTGGCACCTGATCACTGTCCTTAAACTAGACAGGGTTAGGTCAGAATGGCGTAAGAGGTCTTGCACAGCTGCAACTTAACAAAAGGCCCTTTGCATATTTTTAATCACAAGCAGTTCAGCTTCTTAGGCTCACTCTCTTTTACTTGGCTCTTGACTGGAACTAGAAAAATAGACGGCAGCAAAAGGACCATTTGCTGCGCACCAGATCTGGTAGCTCAACTATTGATGGAGTTCCTGTGGTCTATTGCTAACTTTCTTAATGATGACTCGGTAGCAAAGTTGATGCTTTGGGACGCTGAACACAACCCAATTTCCTGCTTTAACTGTAAATCTCTCTCGAATAAAGCCTTGCAGTGGGAGGGACAGAGGGGAAATGACCTACAGCTTGAATTATTAAGCCTTTCCTCATGTTCCTGTGTGTCATTGTAAGCTCTAAAACAAAACAAAACAAAAATTAGACGTTTTCCCCATGGAAGAATGTGTGGATTACAAGATCCCCAGAGTGGTCCCCTAATTACCAGTTATGACCAGTTGCTATCATGGTTCAGCCACAGAACATTTTTGCAAAGGACTTTGCAGCTGCTGAAAAATGGTCCCTGGGGGGCCCTTTAGAGGCATCCAAGACTGCAGTCTCAGCTCTTTCTCTTCTTGCCAAGCCCATTAAAAAAGCAAATAGGCTTCAATTATGAAGCTGAGGAGGGCCATGGCAGAGATGTTGACAGCTTAGCCTAGTCCAGTGTTTCTCAACCTTGGCAATGTTAAGATATGTGGACTTCAATTCCCAGAATTCCACAGGCAGCTGGGGAGTTGAAGTCCACGTTTCTTAACACTGCACAGGGTTAGAAACACTGTTCCAGGTATTATATTTGAGATGTCCTAGAGCAGTGGTGGCAAACCTACAGAACGGGTGCCAGAGGCAGCACACTCAGAGCTCTCTCTGTGGGCACATGCGCCATCGCCCCAGTCCTAGGTCTTCAGCTGGGTTTTATAAAACCTTTTCGCTTTAGGCCTCCACTGTCATGTGCAAAAACAGAAAAGATTCAATCAGTCAATTTCAACTTCTCGTGGAGAAAAAAAGATCTTGCAAAGTTGGAATTGACTGATTGAACTTTTTAGTCCCACCCAGTCTGCTGTTACCACTGCAGCCACGTCCACCCAATGGGCCATGCCCACCCAATGGGCCACACCCACCCGGCACTCGATGATGCATAAGTGGATTTTGGGTTGCAGTTTGGGCACTCGGTCTCTAAAAGGAGAAAAGATGCCAGATGAATGGAGATGGGCAAATGACTTTCCTATCTTTAAAAGGGGGAAAGGAAGATTCAGACCTTGTAAATGTACTGTATAATGCAGTGTTTGATTAGGGAATTCTGGGAGTTGAAGTCCATATATCTTAAACTTGCCAAGGTTGAGAAACATTGTCCTGCAATTTATCTGACCAGGAGATTTAAACCCAATCAGAATTCAGCTATTCCCTGCATATATTTCTTCCAAGCCTCAAAGTTTCTTGTTCAAACTCTTCATATTCTTCAAGTGTGGAACCCAAACTTCTTTTGTTGGAGAAGACTACATGTTGAGTACCTCTAGCTTTTCTTGTTTACATTTTCTTTTCTTAACTGGGAAGCTGACAAGACTGGTTCTTTTCTTTTCTTTCTTTTTTCTTTTTTTGAACATCTGACCTGGAAATTCTGGGAGTTGAAGTCCACACATCTTAACATTGCCAAGGTTGAGAAGCAATAGGCTATGAGATTCTCTTGAATAAATCAGTGGATTATTTCTATACTGCAAGAGAAGCTGAGCAGCTTCAGATAAGAACATTCAGTTGCCATCAAAAGCTGGCCTGAAAAAAACATCTATGGAAGATTCCTCCTTATGCAAAATATTTGACAAAATGTATGCATCTCTAGACAAGACACAAATGTAATAAATGAATAAACAAACAAGCAAGCTGCTAGAGATCATCAACGTTCCCATGGAAATAACCACATTTTCAATATGTTAACAACAACAACAAAAAAAAAAAAACCAAGGCAGAAACTGTCAGAATAAACACATTGCTCACGGAGGATCTGAAGTTATTGCCGTTACAAGGAACAAAGAAAGGCCTTGGGGTATGTTAAGACGAGGTATTTGAAAATTCCTGGAAAACCTTAATATATTTCGAAGCAGGAACCGTTCGGAGGAGAAACGCATAGAGGAAGATCAGCAAGTCAGGAGGGATCCAAAAAAGTCCACATAGTATGCAATCAAAGCCCCATGCTCTGCAAGGTTATTATCATCATTTGAACCATATTGACTGTTTGGAACTTCTCCAAAAAGGTGAGAAGAGAAACAGTGTGTTGAGGCTGGGAGTTACAATGTAGGCCAGTGTTCTCTGGCACTCTATCCCGTTTGGCACATAATGCTGGCCGCTTTATGATGTCACCTGAAAACGCTGCTCTATAGCAACCACTTTATTTTATAATTAGCAGATTTGTATCCTGCCTTTATTATTTTATAAGTAAGTGACTGGCTTAAGGTCACTCAGCTGGCTTTCATGCCTAAGACAGGACTAGAACTCACCCTCTCCTGGTTATTAGCCCAAAGTCACGCAGGTAGCTTTCATGTCTAAGGTGGGACCAGACCTCAAAGCTTCCTGATTTAGAGTCCAGCACCTTAACCATGACAGAAAGCTTATTTTGCGTCCCTATTTTATCAAAGCAGGGATTATGTGCTGTACTGTTGTTGTTATTGTTGTTGTTAATTGCGAAGTCGTGTCCGACCCATCGCGACTCCATGGACAACGTTCCTCCAGGTCTTCCTGTCCTCTACCATCTTCTGGAGTCCATTTAAGTTCACACCTACTGCTTCAGTGACTCCATCCAGCCATCTCATTCTCTGTCGTCCCCTTCTTCTATTGCCCTCAATCTTTCCCAGCATTAGGCCTTTCTCCAGTGATGTGCTATACTAAAAAGGACTAAAGTGGAAGCCCCTTTCATAGAGTTGCAATGACGTATGGTGGTTGGTTTTAATGGGACAGTTTTTATCTCAATGGCGACTGCTGGCATCTCTCTTTTTAATTTTTCTGTCTTATCTCCTATCAAGCTGAATCCACCTGCTGCTTCAGCGACTAGTTTTACGT